CCCCCCTTTTTTTTTTTTAAATAACATGCTGGATTCCAGTTGAAAAGTAATTTTGGAATCTTCAGAGCGATTCCCTACCTCAGGCTCAGATTGCACACAGAATGAAACTGAGCAACTGGACACAAAACCCAAGTATTCAAAAACCTCCCTAACTCAATGATCTCCTTTGCCAGCAAGTGTTTATATCACCACAGAAAACAAGCTGAGGCAAGGTGGGGGAAAAAAAGCCATTATTGTTACCACCTAAAATAACAAAGAGGCACCCCCAGACTTGCACATGTATGTAACACTCCAGCTTGAACTGCCTATTTACTTAAAACAATTCTTAGTGGCAATACTGGGCTTGGGCCACATACCTTGCTGGGCCCTATGGTTACTACATTTTGGAAGGCACAAAGGCTCTTATTTGTATGCCTACAGTAAGACTATTTTTTTAAACCCTAGGCTATCTCTGGTCTCAAGTTTAATGTGAATTTTCACAACTAATTGGTACATGTCAGAAAGTTACCATAAAACATATTTAATTTTTCACTGCAAATGGATTCTTATCTGGGAATTATCAGACTGTGGCAGGTCAAAATATACATAAGTAAACCCCCCATATTTATGAAGTACTTACAGCAGGAAACAACGTTCAGTGACATACAGAGAGGGATACAAATTTCAAAATTATTTTATTTCCACACTTAACCATTCCACACCTAATTCTGAAAACATATATAAGGTGGATGGTTCACATTGTTCATTCTACCTGCACTAGCATCAGCTCTGCAGTCAAGATGAAATTCACTGTGAGTATGCATGCTCTTTTTTTCCTTATACACTAAAACTTGTGATTCAAAACCGTTGCCTTTACACCTCTGAAGTGCCTATAGCAAAAAAGTATGCTGCTCTGGGGAGATTTTTCTCCTCCAGAGTGAGCCACTCGGACCCTATAAACCTAATGACATGAAGAGGTAAGGACTTTTTTTAAAGGTTCAAGTATGCATTATTCAGTCTACAGGAAGCCTGCATCCATTTTTGTCAATGTTTTTGCAAAACCGTCTTTCTTGTAAATAACATTGTTTCTTGTCAAATCTCTGTATATGACTGTAAAGGTCTCGGAAGCAACTTCAGATTCGGCTCTTGAAAAAGCATCCTACTATGTGTCCAATTTGCATTATTCTAGGGTAAAGCAAGGATGACGCACTTTAGGTGACTCTTGTCATTCCAGTAGGAAAGCAAAACAGCATCCAAGAAGTACAGTTAAATGCTAGACCTGCAGTTACACTTTTGTTTTCAATTGTCATTTCAGATTGTGACCACCGTCCTTCTCGGACTCTTGCTGACTCCAACCCTTGCTCAAGAGGTGAGTAGAGTGACCAAGTTACATATACATTGCTGCAGTGTCTATAGTCCATGCTTCTGGAGTTTTCCTTGCTTCTTTCTCCACCGCTTTGGAGGGAAGGAATCCCAAACTTTTCACACACAAAACTCTAAAGCCACCAGATGACAGTTGTAAGCTATAGAAAATATTTGTGGAATCTGTTAAAAGAATTCTTACAGCTACTCCAATATGCCACAGCCATAATTCTTTGTCATTTAGAGACCTTCTATGGTCACTAAAGGCACTCCCTGTGGGCCACCACTTTTTCTATTAGAGCAGTGATTTTGCTAAAGCTTTGGGGAGATAACTGACTAACTTGAAAGTCTACAAGTGCTGTTTAATTTTGTTTTCTAGTTTCAGAATAAGGGTAGAAACCAGCAAGTCATAACCAAGGAAATCCACGTTGCTGGAGGCTACGAAATCCTGACCATCAATACGCAATGGCGCGTGGCAATTATCGAGGGCAGAAGCAGCCAAGGGTTATGGAAAACCATTCTGAACTATGACAGAGTGAGTGGCAAGGAACATGCTTTTTTCAGAAAATGTACAAGGAGACTAGCTCCTATAAAGCTGACCAAATACAGGATCCGTTTCTTTATTCTTAACATTTTGCACCCAAGTTTTGGGGGTGAAAACTATGTGCATTTGTTCATTTCTAATACAGACTTCATTCCTAACCTAATTGTTGAAAAACTGAATTCCTGATCATCAATGACTTCATTTTACAGGGCTTTATTGCAACCAAAGTGGAGGCAAAGAACGCTTGCCTCATTTCCGTCATGAACAGACAGGAGATGCCCGAGTTCGATGCCCTTCCCAGACTGGCTGAAGAGGCTGCGGTAAGATGAAGGGGTACTTACTCGTGAAGTTGTACAGTAATGCAAAGTAAACTGATGTCAGACATTGCTCCTTTCAAAAACTTTGAAACCAACAGTTACTTTAAAAGCCATTTAGATCACACCATTGCTTACAAAGCAGTATCAATTGCAATGACATTTTACATAATCTGAAACCTTTGAAAAGTTAGAGTACCCAGCTTCAGATGCTTGCAGGGGTGGGCTTTCCTGTCTTTTTTTAGTGTTGCAGATCACCTAGACTATCTTTATAATGTTTTAAAAGATTATTTAGATTGACTGCTTTTTAATACTGCTTTGTGTTTAGAGATTTTAGATTTTTGGCACAGTACTCTTCATATAAATCTCACATTCTTTGCTAGCTAAAAAAAAAAATCATGCTTTTAGACAGCACAAATGATGCAGTAATGAGGAAAAAAGTTTAAATCAGATTTCCAGCTTTCAAAAGTTTTTCAGAAGAACAAAGCACCACTTCAGCATGAGTTCAGCCCACGGAATTAGCACAGACATTTTAAAAGTTATCTCAGCATTAAACCTACTAACCTTTTGTAGACCCTGGCTTCTCTTGAAGTCCGAGAACTGAGTCCTTATAGAAATCCTGGCTTTAAAGGGCAAGAAGGCATGGCGGGGAAGAAAAAGGGGAGAGTTACCCAGGTGTAGACTTGAGCAAAACCATTCACCTCTAGCTATAATTCTGGACTTGCTTGTCCTAAGGTGCATCTCTTGGCTCCCTGAAGCTTGTCTCAACTCCTTGCTTAGCAGCAAGAAGGCGGAAGCATGCTGGACTGGGCTTTCAGGAGCCCTTGGATAGAATTCCACCATAATGTTGAAAGCCTACATTAATCCCAGTCATCCCTGCTAAGTGTGTCTTTACCCTGGAGTTCATCAAGCTGCTTCTTCACTGTGCTTTTTCTTTCTGGAGAGGATGAGATTTTCACAAGGGGCAGGATTTTGTTTTTCTGAACAGTCACGTGGCTTGAACATTTGCCATCGGGATGGTTTTTCAAAAGAAAAAGAGTAGGTGCATCATTCCCCCCATTCCCCTCGCTACATTTTCTCTGAGGACGTTTAGGTTGGTGGTTGCTAAGAAACAGTTTATATTAGGAAGCCTCCAATGGCATGAATTATTTTTGGATAGCAATATCTATGAATACTTGAAAGTCATTTGGAACATTGCTTTGCAGATGCTCTTGTTCGGACCTCCATTTGCCTTGAGGGCCACAGCAAGCATCTCTACACTCAACTGCCTTTCCTCTGTATTAATTGTGTCAGCCAGAACAGGAGTCCTGCAGCTGTAGCTAAATCGGGGGAGATACAAACCAGCAGGAAGCCTCGGTCATAAGAGACCATACAGGCATCCAGATCCTTTGTCCAGATGATAAAGCACTCAAGGAGGAAAATGCATTTGAAACAAAGCACTTTGGAGCAGTTCAGAAAAAACTGTCCCACTAAAACTCTCAGAGTTCTCCAAGAGGTCATAAACACTACTTGCAAATCATTTGAGTGTAGGTGTGTCTGCCAAGCATTGCTACCACCCTCTTCGGTTCCCATTTTAGAAAGCTGAATGCAGAGACCTCTCCTTCCATGCTTCCAAGGTACAACCTGACTATTTCTAGGGTGAGAGAATAGGAAGTGACCAAGGAAACATTTCTATAGCAGGTCTGTGTTAAAATACTGACTGCACTACTCTCTTCTTGTTCAACTGTTTGGTTGAGTTTCCAGTTCTCTTTAGCCTCCCTCCACCTTCAGTCCCTTAGAAAGATCTGTTTGCTAAACATCCCACAGCAGATTAAAAGACTGTACTAAGTACAGCTGTGAGCAAAATACCAAGCATTGAGTCACCATTCCAGAAAGAGGAATATGCATAACATTAAAGGGGTTGAGGCACTGATGACCTTGCTGAATGATGTTATTTGATGTTTAGAACCTGGAAAGTCAAGGACAACCTACAAAGGAGATAGTATTCGAAGTCATCAGGAGACCTGTCGGTGACCTCCAGTCTTACGGACAAGACACCTTCACTATGTGCCAAGGACTCACAACCTACATGGCTAGTGAAGTTGAAGGTGAGTGCAAGCAAATCAATTACATCTCTAACAACCAGGGATTTTTTTTCCCCTTGGGGAGTAATACACAAATGCTGCTGGTTCCAACTCGAGAGGAACACAAATCAAGAGCCTCAGGAGTTACAGAAAGGATTCTGTATCTCTGCAGATCAGAATTGGAACAGTGTTGAGTCACAACCTACATAAATGATCTGATCCAAACCCTTACTACTTCTTTTAGTAAAGTTCAAGGTGGCTTAAGTTTTGGCAATTTTGCAGATTCACCTCATCTGTAATGCCAAGGCAGAAAAAAAGGTCAAGAACCACAGCTCAGAGATTGCTGATAAGCTTACCAAGCCATCCCACCACATACTGGTGTTTTACAACACTAAGCCAAGTTGCTTTGTTTCCCGTGGGTTTTTCAGAGGTGGAATGATCCCATTTCCTGGGAGTTTAACGACTTGTACTTCACAGGATCCACCAAGAGTGTCAAAGCCTGACAGGGCCTATTAACGAGCACTAGCATAACTGTCCAATGCATAGTAACATGTACTAACAGTACAGAGTGTAGTAGTGCCCCACTGTACTGGCAAACCAAAAGAATATTCAATAGCATGTCTTTGCAATCGTTCTTTTCCAAGTTAAGGATCCAGGTGTGTTTGGCGACTACAAAAGAATCACTTGCAATAGTGTTCTGTGTATTGGGGGGGGGGGGAAGAATTAAAAAGAATATCATGCAAAGAATCTACGTTTTACTCAGAGGAGTTAATCCTGAAGCACCAGAAAAGTACTCTGAGCCTTACTGCAAGCTGATTGTCTGCAAACCTTGTCATGACAAAGACGCTCTACCAATCAGGCACAGGAAGTTGCATTCTGACATAGCAGTATTTCTACCTACTCACTGCTCACTTTAATAATTGCTTTGGTACTTGAGGTAGCTCAGTCTGATTAACAACACAAGGGCAATGGGCCAGGTATGAAGAGCCAGCAATGAATGCGCAGATCTCTTAACACCACCTTAGGTATTACCTATGGTTGGGTTTTTTTTTCTTTCCCTTCCTGTTTTTAAAGCACCCCTATACACATATCACCAAGGATCATGCCTCAGATTTGATGTTCTGCAACTTCTGGACCTTAAATACTGTTACAACAACAGCATGGTCTGAATAATCTTACCTTTCATGAATGAAGTATGGATGCTCGATAACTGCTGCACAAAGCCAACCCCGATGCTGTTCTTCCCTGGTGTCTCCTCTTTCGAGAGTTTCATTCCTGATGGTTCACATGCTGAAACAGATCAATTGGTGACCATCTCTTTCAATTAAAGACCTTTAGCATGTATTAACTCTGGCTACTTCCTTATTACATTAGAGGGGAATTAAGGTGCAACTTTTTCTAGCAAGGCAAGATCCCTATTGCTCAGACCTTTTAAAATCAAGATTGAGTAGTTCCTCTGTTCTAACAAAAGTGGCAGGATGCCCTGGGTCACCCAAGTGACTACCAATCTGTCTTTAAGAAAAATACCAGCCATGCAGCATCCCTCAGTTTCTACTTCCCTCTCACCAATCCCCAGAGGCTTTAATCTGTAGCAGTTTAAAAGGACAGAGAGTTTGCTTGGGCACAACTCAGGCAAAAAGCATCTGAATTACCGGGACTAGGCCACATCAATCCTAGGAGCAGAGAGGGGCAGGCAGTAGTTTGTTGCTGCTAATCTCCTCCCTCTTTGGTATTGCATAAGTTCTTTCAGTTCCTTCGCACACTGTAGGTGCTCATTTTACTCAGGCTGAGGCTAAATATCACAGAAAGAGGCAAGAACTAAAGTTTAGGAGGGATTTTCAATTATTTTTAGTCATTATACTGTATCCTACCAAAGTCTGTCAGCTCTCCTCATGCCCTACTGTGACTTCTTATTGGCATTTCTCAATTTAACTCCCTTTCCAGCAAGGATTGGAAAGAAACTTTTTAGTCTTAGTGTGTTCATTTAAATACCGAACATAACACGAGTGAAAGAAAACTTCAGCCACCTAACAGACCAAAGAAACTTCTCAGCAGCAACAAAAATACACCTATGATGCATATGGCAAACAGAGGTACAAGCCATCTGAAGAAACAGAGTTAAGACAGGACCTGAAATAAGCCTGATGCTTCCAGAGAAACTTCATTGCTTGTTACCAAGCAGAGCTGTTACAGGTCTCGTTCCCACAGCCCAGAGCCTGTGCCTGCCAGCACACCCCCACAACATATGTACACATTTGCTTCACACTGCTGGGATGAGAGTTCTGAAGAACACAGAGAGCAAAAACAGCCTCACAGCAAACCTCCCAGCCCTTGCCCTCCTCCAGCACTGCAGAAGATTACCATGGTGCAGGTGACCTTTAACAGCTGAGAGCAGCTCATGGAAGATGCCCACAAAGCCATCTCCCAGGCTCTGATACACAGTGCCTTGGGATTTTAAAAATCCGAAGTTGCACCCTACATGTACTCTTCAGAATTTTGTCCCGTAAAATCTAAAACACGCACTAAGGAGGGCAGAATCTAAAACACGCACTAAGGAGGGCAGTACTGAAGACAGTAGACAATACTCAGCCAAAGGAGATCTGTAAACATGATTAGGAGAAGGATAATTTGACAGCATGAAACAGGCTGAGGAGGGAAAAGTCTTCCATTTATCACTCCTAACTCCAGTGTGCAGCACACGTCAGTATAATTAACCTCTTCCAAAGAAAATCTGTGAGGAACAGCAAGACCAGATAAGATACAATGCCTTGCCTCACAGATACATGATCACATTCTCCATGTTCACAGCACTTTGAAAAGGACGAGTCCAACACTGCAAACCCAACAGTGTGGGAGGAATTATTTTTAAATCCTCTAGCATCATGCTAAATGTAGTAAGTAGATCTGAACCTTCCATTCCATGCAGCTCTGCTCCCTCCTGCTGGGCATGTGTGCGCTTATCCTTTTGCCTTAAAATCAGTGGAAACTGAAAGGCAGAAGATCCTAATATTCATTTTTACAACCAGTGCCTCATCAGTGCTGCCTGCATATTCACTTGCTCTGAGTTAGATGCATGCGTCTAGATAATTACCTTATTATTATTACCTTAGACTTGATTGTTTCAGGATTCATGCACCCCAACATCTCCCAGGGGTTAATTACTGCAGACTCCTAAGGAGAATACCGAGTTTGTGTTCTTGTGAGTCCCAGGGGACTGAGAATCCAGACACCTGTACTGCAGAGTTTGGCTTGGTCATGACAGCATTCCAAGTTTTAGGCTCGGGTTCTTCAAGAACACTTTTAACTGGGTGCTTTCATTTGAGAAGGGAGGTCAAACTTAGCCACCCAATTCTCAGCAATGCTGAAAAACAGAAGCCCCTAATGATTTCCTCCACATTCGCTCCAGACTCAGGATCAGTGTGAACCAGGCTGATCATCTTTGTCTGGATTCAGTTAGAGACAAAGATACCACTGGTCACAGATGCCGCTTTGAGTAGACTGGGCTGAATTATGTCTGACTACAAATGAATGTGAAAAAAGCACTTGCAAAGGAGCTGTAAGGATGCTCTAGCCCTGGCAAAGTGCTTGGAAACGGTTACAGTAAAGGCAAACAAAAGCCATGGATATGCAACACCAAGCAGAGGAGGGAAGGCTGTTGAGAGGTGCTTGGCCTTATTACACAGCCCTGTCTCCTACAGCATCAACCAAAAGGAACAACAGCTCAACCGACAGCACCCCCTGGGCTCCTGGGTAGGTTGAGGCAAAAATTAGAAAACAAGACTTGTAAAGAAGCTGCAGGGCCTACCTAGATTATGGCGGAATTCTTCCCCACACCATTCTTTCCCCTATTTTATTCAATACATGAGAACGAATATGTTTTCATCTGTGTATCTGGCATAATAGTCCTCTTCAGGAAGAGGTTCCATACACACGCAGGAAGTTAGCAGCCCTCGTTAAAAAAGCTAGTGGAACAAACTCCACTCACCAGAAAAATAGTGCAGTACAGCCTTACATCTTGCAGTAGAGGCAAATAAAGTCAAAGCACAGCCAAGTCAGCTAAAAGCAAGGGACCAGGCAGCTGCTGATCGCTTGAAAACTTAGGGCAAGCCAGGGAAGAAAAAGCTGCTTTGGCCACTGGGTGTCAGGCTCGAGTTACATGTCGCACAATTGATAGGTAAAGGCGCACAACTCGCACCCAGAGACGTCTCTTCTTACACCGCTGACGACAGTGTAGCTGCGCCGGCACTGGAAGAGCTGTGCTGAATCACACCCTCGGAAAATACGGCCAGTGCGTTTAAGGACATGTCTACACCGCTGTAACAGCTTCCTGAAGTGCCACGAAAACTGGCAAACGTGATATTGAGATCCCGACAGAAGCCATCATCCACCACGCAGGTCAGACATTTGTGAGGCAAAGGGAGTCACCCCAATGACACAGAGGTGGGGGCTCAACACCCACACAGTGCTGTCAAGTTCTCTGTCCCACCTGTCAGCAACACCACTGTTACCACAAACCAACAGAACATGCTTCTTCCAAGCTCCAACTTTCAGAAAAGGTCCCACAGACACATGTAAGGGAGTCTATGATAAAACAAAAAAACCTGCTGATGCCACTTCCCCCATCATTTACTTAGGCAAATTCTGTTCACACCCAAAGGGCATCACATGGAGCTTAATTACCCCTTGAGCTGCTGCATACAATTCAAACACCTTCCTTCTTGTCTCTTTCACACAAAGAGTACAACACACACAGGCTCCCCAATAGCTGTTAGGTCTTTCTCACAAAGCTACAGTCTGCATAATACATTATTTCTAGCATTTTTAGAGGGAGGGACAGGCAGAAATTCCAGCCCCCCCCCCCCCCCCCCTCTTCACTAGCGTCCGCCTACC